GTTGTAGCAGCAGCAGCAGTAGTAGCAATGGTCGTCGTCGTCGTAGTAGTTGTAGTAGTAGAGGTAGCTGCAGCAGTAGTAGTAGTAGTAGTAGCAGCCGTCGTAGTCGTAGTAGTAGTAGTAGTACTACTACTACTACTACTACTACTACTGCTACTACTACTCCTACTAGTCCTAGTACTGGTAGTGGTAATCGTCGCCGTTGTAGTCGTAGTAAGGGTACTAGTCGTACTAGTAGTTGTAGCAGTAGTACTAGTACTAGTAGTAGTAGTAGTAGTAGTAGTAGTAGCAGTAGGAGTAGTAGTAGTAGTAGTAGTAGTAGTAGTAGTAGTAGGTAGTGTAGTGTGGTAGTAGTAGTGGTGGTGGTAGTAGTAATGGTAGTAGCAGCCGTAGCAGTGGTTGTAGTAGGAGTATGTAGTAGTAGTAGTAGTAGTAGTAGTAGTAGTAGTAGTAGCAGGAGTAGGAGTTGTTGTCGTAGTAGTAGTTGTAGTAGCAGTAGTAGTAGGTAGCATAGTTTGTAGTCTGTAATTTGTAGTTTGTAGCTGTAGTAGCAGTAGTAGCAGTAGTAGTAGTAGCAGTAGCAGCAGTAGCAGTAATATCAGTAGTAGTAATAGCAGTAGTAGTAGTAGTAGTAGTCGTCGTCGTCGTCGTCGTCGTCGTTGTAGTGGTGAGTGGTGGCACTGGGAATGGCAGCAGAGTACTGGTAGTCGCAGGGGCAGGAGTTCGGGTAGGTGTGATGTTCGGCGTAGTGACAGTGGCAGTTGTGTTCGTCGCCAACGCGATGGTCAAAATAGTAGTTTTTGTTGTGCTGCAGTTTTACTACTAGTACAAACAGCAGAGGCATCAACAGAAGCTGGTGATGAGCAGCAGCAGCGGCATCAGAGGGAGGGTCGAGCAGCAGCAGCAGCTGCAGCAGCTGCAGCAGCTGCAGCATGTCATAAGCAGTTGCATAAGAAACAACACAGCTTGAAAACAAAAGCCATGAAAAGAACAGCAGCAACAATGGAGAATAGCGCCTGCACCACGATACTGCAACATCACCAGAATCCTGCACCAACCCGACAGTGAACACACAGGCCAATATCAACTCAACGGTGGACATCTTGGCAACTTCGAAAGCACTCCCATAGCAGCCATAGTAACATTCTCCCCGCTATCCGCTGTGTTACTTGCATTGGCAGAGTCAACATCCGTCCTCATCCTAACATCATGACGGTCACAAGCATCATCGCTATAAATGCGAATATAACTGTCATCATGGGTGCTGGTGGACATTCTGGCTATTTCCGAATTGCACTTTCGCAGCCTTTACAACTACCATTACGACCACCACTCATCAGCCTGTTTTGGTTGTCGTACCAGCGCCATCATGTTCAGTTTCGCTGCATCGGCTCCCATTACTGCTGTTGTCATAGTATTCTCATGCGGCTGCGGCTGCGACTGCTGCCGCCTGCGCTCTTCACCCGCCCCGGCCCTCCAACCCTCAGTGACGTGCTGCCACAGTCTCGGCTTGAGACCCCGGTCTTCCAGGACCTTCGGTTCTGTCGGAACTTGAGGCTTGAGTTGAAGGCAACAAGTATCACGGTTTCGGATTCTGGACGGGATTTACAACCGAGCAGAGTTTGGAGCTGTTGGCTTGGCAACACTTTGAACCTTTGGGGGTCTGTTGCTACATAGATGTCAGTGGACATCGGATCTCGGTGCGTAGCTGAGGGCTTGTTGATCGACTAAGCTCGATGCCGCAAACACAAATCCCCAAACCCAGACCCAAGAAAGCCCACATCCCCGACCCTAAACATGTGAGACTACGTTCTGACCCACAACCTGGCCTCCAGAAAAGAAAGCCCCATCTGCCACTGCTCGTTTCGCAGACAGGCCGTGATCGCCGTGTTGAAGCCTCATTTTAGGCATAAACAGGTCTGAAACGGCCTAAGAGGTTTTGGAACTGCAGAACAGGGCTTACCAGGGTTTTTGGCGAGAGCCTTCGAATTGATCCTAAGCTGTCTGCTGCACTCCCAAACAAAAGGCATCTCTCAACAGCTATCAAGCACTTCACAGTTGATAGTGATCTGATAGTGTTAAAAAGTCCTGTCGATGCGATGACCGCATGATGAGGCTGCTACAAGTGCTTCTGCCGTCGTCTGCTCTACATGTATCTAACATTCTTTCAAGACAAGACGTTCTGTGACTCGTACGTCTGCTTCTTGCTTCGGCGTCGCTACAACTATCTCAACGGTATTGACTATCGAAAGAAGTTCTGCCGTTCTCACCATCTTCCCACAGTTTCCTTCCTCACAGTCCGGACAGTCGCCGTGTGCAGTACCCAAATCCTCAGAACCTCCTGACAGCCTACATCACAGGGTCTCACATGCCGTTGAGAAACAAACGTTGAGTTTGAAAGCGTTTGGTAGTCTTGGGCTTGTGTGAAAAGACTGCGGAAGAACAAGCTTGCTGCCCAAGTAGCTAACAATATCCGGACAGAGGTTGCTGCTCCAAAGGTTGTCAAGGAGCGCCACCTCCAGCGGAAAGTGCGCAGGTCAGACTGTCAAAGTCGAGTGGGCTCTTGACCTTCAATTGATCTAGACGCTCCGGACAATGCGGGGTTTCGGACGCTAAGTTCCCGGAGCTTCAGGTAGAAAGCTTATGAGGCACCGGTGCCGTCTTGTCAGTAACGACTGTGACAGACGGATACAATATATTCAGACACTGACAAAGCGACGGACCCTAAAACCCCGAACCATTCTTGGCCACCAATACTCCAAACCCAAACCGCCGGAACACCCAAGAAAGACTTAGAACCTCCCTAAACCCGAAGCTCTAGACCCCAAACGAAACCTCTCCACGAAATCCTTGTGAACCTGATCCCAATGCCCAGAGCCGTACACATGAACCGCTAGCCTCTTTGGAACCCTAAAGCTGAAAGCCCACATAGGGCCTAGGCTCCAGGGTGAATCCAACGTCATTTTCTGATTCAGCCAAGCATCTGCCAGCCACCAGGGGCCCTCCTGGCAAGCTGCCAGGACCGCATTGTGGCCTGCTTGGTCGAGCTACTTCGGGCACAGCCTCAACGCAATAGCACAGCAAGCGTTGAGCAATGCCCGCAATGATCTGCTGATGATAGCAATGAATGCAATGAAGCGAGGAGGAGGAGGAGGAGGAGGGCGCGGAGAATCTTCGCCGCCACCACCTCCACCATCACCGCTACCAACCTCATCATCAACATCATCATGGCCACCGCCACCGCTGTTTCTCTTGCCGTTGCTGTTCACTGACGCTGATGCTGCTGATGGTGATGGTGATGGTGATGGTGATGATGACGATGACGATGATGATGATGATGATGATGATGATGATGATGCTGATGATAATGCTGATGATGCTGATGATGATGCTGATGATGCCGATGATGCTGATGATGCTGATGATGCTGATGATGCTGACGATGCTGACGATGATGATGATGATGATGATGATGATGATGATGACGATGATGATGATGATGATGATGGGCGATGGTGATGGTGATGGTGCTGGTGCTGGACATGATGAGGATGATGATAGTGATGGTGATGATCCCTGCTTCAGGAGTCGCTACGGTGGACAACAAAACTCCAGGGCTCCCTCTTCCCCCCCCCCCTCTCTCACACTATGAAGTACAGTATCTCAATCCCGGCTCCTGCCAGGACGGCACTTCTAGGAAGCTGAGCAAAACAACTTTAAACGCTTGCTGCACCCAAGTCACAGATGAGATCGGGTTGCGACCGTGTCCTGGCAACGAGTCCGTACATGTGTTGATGCGAAATCTACGGCATACCAGACGAGAGGGGATATCATGTTTGGCCCTCATGGACTGCGTTCGCGGTTGGTAGCTAAATTCAACCCTAGCCTTACCCAGACCCTGCATCGAGGAATGCTCCCGACCCCATCGTGAAAGACTTACTGTCGTTTACGGATGCGCTAATGGCAAGATCATCACCAACGGACCAAGTCCAAAGGCAGAGAAATGGCGACAATAGTAACTCAGTTACATGAGATCTACATCCAGCAGGGTCTATGTGAAAACGCCACTGTGTTCTCAGGCTGCTGGCGGACAGAAGGACTACGGTCAATTGCACTTTGGTCCTGGGAGTGTAGCATCTAGGGTTACCCACCCACAGCTTGAAAGCTCCCTAGAAATGCTAGAAACGCAAGCCTGCTCCAGCCTCCAACTCTGCCATTGTTGGGCTACAGGAAAGCACGAAAACGCTAGCAATAACCGTTCACCCGTTTGGGCTTGGGTTGGGGAAAAGCCCCGAACGAAATGAGTCGCTCCTTGCCATATCTGCAAGCACCGTCAGCGCCAGCCGCCACTGTGCGCTACGCTGCACTGCAGACAGCAACGTGGTGAAGCAGATCCTGAAGAGTGTGGAAGTCAGGACATGCATCCTGAATTCTTCCCTTGGTCCCGAAGCCCTACACCGTGAACTTGCTAGGGGCGTTGACTTGTGGTCTTCCGGGCTTTTGGGGTTTAGCCACGACATGAAACCTCGAAACATACCGGCCTCAGCAACCATCGCAAGGCCAACCTTGAGTTCTCTGCTAACCCCAAGACCTGAAGCCGGATTGGGCAGTTTGCAGGTCCGGGCCCAGCCATCGTCGGTACACGGGCTTCGCGTTTGGAGCGGTCATGCCGCTTTGCAGTCTCTAGAACTCGAAAATGGGGGGTCGAAGACTGTGCTTCAGACCTTGAGCAACTCGACGAGAAAGCCTGAAGCCAAGGTACACGTCTGCTTGCAGCCGTCCTGAGTGGATACTGCGCAGAGAATCACGCTGTTGGGTACCACAGGCTGGACTGCTGAATTGATGACTGTAGGTCTCTTTGCCGACTCTGAGAAGTGATCTAGAATCGCTCTGGAGGCTGAACTAACATCGCGATCATGGCGGCTTCTCCTATCTTTGACACGTTCGCTAATGAGCTACTGCGCAAGCGCCATACATCGCCATGCACGACTCGGGCCAGGACTACGCATGCAAAGAGAGATGAAGGTCAATCGTGCGCGTGCTGGCAGGGCAAGTACCGCGCTGGAAGCTAGAGCCGACACGGCACGAATCCCAAAGAAACGAATTGCATGCAACGTATTGGGTCCGACCGTTTCCCCTGAAGTCTTACAACCCGAAGATCAAACAGCAGGCACAAAAAAGCAAGCTAAGGAATGGGAAGAATCGCAACTCGATTCCTCGCCATAAGGAGACGACTGAAGCATGAAGATGAATAGAAAACAAGCCACGGGACGCTTTACGTAAGAGTGAAGTCGGCAGCTGGTGTCTGAGAAGAAAACATGAAGAGTCACTGGAACTTTCTTGACTGTGATATAACGCAAACTTTTCAATCCGGTCCAGAAGTACACTTTAAACATACGTCCAAGCCATGAAGTAAAGGGCCTCCAACAGTCAGATCTGAACACATACATCTCTCACAAAATCAAGGGTTGAGGACATGAGGTACCAGGTTGAAAACCCAGCATCCATAGCGCCATGAGATATCCAGGACTTTGTTTAAAGATCTGTGTTGGGTAATTCGGGACCTGAGCAATTGCAACAGGATTACGGGTGTAGTATTTGTGTTGCTTGATGTGATACTACAGTGTACCACAGAACATTGCTGTGCTAGTGGTGGGATTGGCTCCGGGACTCACTTTCTTTTGCTAGGACTCGCTGCTGCAGGGTCCGAAGCGCGTCCAAGGCTGCAGGCCAACGTTGACTCCTCCGGCAGGGATGGGGTTAGAGTTTATGTCTTCGTGCTTTGAGGGCCTGCGGATTCGCTGGACGAGGTTTAAAAACCCAGCGAAGAAGATACTTTTAGCGCTCAACGTTTTTGTTTCGCAATCTTGACAAGAGCTGGCTGCTCGATCAAAGTCGAGTCGAACTGTGTTGCTACCATGCGAGCAGGATTCAGGATGGAAAGGTTCGGCCAAGCTTGGCACCTGGCATCTTGAGACTTAACGGACCCTCATTGGAAGTGTAGCTGCTCTCGAGCACAACATCTAAATGCTGAGCCCTACCTGTAATCGTGACTTGCGCAAGCGGCGTGGTTGCATTAGGATGCAAGATTGAGCAGCAACACGGGCACCTAGCGCTTCCGTCCTGTCGCAATGTCCAGCGTGCAGACTGCCGTTGTTCAAACACCCAACCACTATGGCTCGGGTTCCCGAAATCTCTCGATGCGGATGCTGCCTTCTCATCGAATCGGCTGCATAGCGTACCAACTCAGGTTTGAGGGCCCTTGTTGAGGAATCCGAAGCCATCTGATTGTCATAGCTCGCCTGCTAGGCCCTTGATGCTTAAACCCCGGTGGGGAGGAGGATCCTGAATCCTGAACAGAAAGATCCTCTGCGCCGCGTCCATAACGGCTGTGTAGCTTACGAGGTCCTCAGCTGGGGTTAGGGCCCTTTGTGAGGGTGCTTTGACGCGGCTACAGATGCTTGCGATTCTAAGGTCTTCCTCCGACCTCCACAGCTGAAGAGTGGACTCAGGCAAGACAAAATGCCTCGTGGGGGATCCTAACGGCCTAACTTTTACCAGCGACCCAGCTCCGCCTTTGGCTCGGGATCCGGGTACAAAGCCAAGCGCTAACCAACACACACACACACACACACACAGACCGACTCACTCACTCACTCGCTCACTCACTCACGTACCCATACAAGCACACACACGCACACGCACACACACACACACTGTCTCTATCTGTCTATCTATCTATCTATCTATCTATCTATCTATCTATCTATCTCTCTCTCTCTCCTATAAGCTCCTCTTCAGTGCCGCGAAGATCAAGATGCAGAGCGAGGAAGGGACCGAAGGATGGAGATGGTGGTGGTCGTGTTGGTGATGATGCTGGTGGCGGTGATGATGATGATGATGATGACGACGACGATGATGATGATGATCCGATGCTGGTTAGATTTAATAGTATTCCAACTGCTACAAGGGTATGCCTCGCATGCAATTAGAGCAACTCTGAGCACTACTGCTACTACTGATCCGTCCTACTCGCACTCCTACTGACCCTACTGCTATACTTTCTCCTGCTGCTGCTCGCGCGGCGGAACGGCCATTGCTGCTTCTGCCACCTACACACCTTCTCCTTCTCGACCCCCCCTGCTCCTCCGCCTCCTCCTCTTCCTACCACTCCTACTGCTACCACGACGACGGCCACTACCACCAGTTGCTACCACTACTGCCACAAAAACGACGACGACAAGCTACTACTACTACTGCTGCTGCTGCTGCTGCTGCTGCTGCTGCTGCTGCTGCTGCTGCTGCTGCTACTGCCACTACTACTACCACTACTGCTACTACTACTACTACTACTACTACTACTACTACTACTACTTCTACCACCACCACCACCACCACCACGACGACCACTACTACTACTACTACTACTACTACTACTACTACTCCTCCGACAACTACTACCACCACTACCACTACGACTCCTCGACTAAACCTCCTACTACTACTACTACTACTACTACTACTACTACTAACACCACTGCTACTACCAGTGCCACTGCCACTGCCACTGCCACTGCCACTGCCACTACCACGACCACGACCACGAC